CCCGGCCTCAAATTTGATTTTTAAATGCTTAAATTTTTATTTTAAATTTAATAGTTTTAAAAAAATTTAATTTTGCAGCAACACAATGGTAAGAGAATTGTAAAAGAAGGAATAGGCAAATTACAGATGGAGAAAAAGTATTTGCAAGCTACATGAAATGCAGTATCTGATTATGTACTGTCCTGACTACATGAAAAAAAATCCTCCAGGCTGGGCGTGGTGGCTTACACCTGTAATCCAAGCACTTTGGAGGCCAAGGCGGGTGGATCATTTGAGGTCAGGAGTTCAAGACCAGCCTGACCAACATGGTGAAACTCCGTCTTTAAAAACAAAACAAAACAAAATCCTCCAAATCAGTATTAGAAGCCAAATAAATGACCACTCAAACAACCAAATGAAACATGGCATAACACTTAAAGAGACGCTTGATTAAAGAAGATATGAACAGACAATAAGCATATAAAACGTTGCTTATTATGGCAACATCTTTAGTCAAAGGGAAATGCAAAGTAAAACCACAGAAACATTCAATTTCACACCTACCAGAATGGTTAAAATAAAAGACTGACAACATCCAAGGTTGGAGAGGATATGGACCAACTGAAACTCTTTACTCATTGCTAACAAGCTTGTGAAATCATACAATCATTTTGGAAAACTGACAATTTCTTACAACATTAACCACACATATACTCTCCAATTCAGCGCTTCTACACCTAGGTAGTCCCAGAAAAGAAATTCAAACAACAGTTCACATAAAGACTTAGTCACAGATGTTTATAGCAGCCTTATATGTAATGGCTCCAAATGTGAAACAAACCAAATATTCATTAAGAGAAGATAAACAAATTGTATATTGACACAATGGAAAACTACAGCAATAAAAAAGAATGAACTTTGATCAATACAACATGGATGAATGTTGGGCCATTCATCTGGGCCTGGTGGCTCATGCCTGTAATCCCAGCACTTTGGGAGGCCAAGGTGGGTGGATCACTTGAACCCAGGGGTTAGAGATCAGCCTGGGCAACATGGTGAAACCCTGTCTCAACAAAAAATTCACCAGGCATGATGGTGCACGTCTGTCGTACCAGCTATTAGGGAGGCTGAAGTGGGAGGATCACCTGAGCAGGGGCGGTGGGGGCAGACAAGGCTGTAGAGAGCCGTGATCATGCCACCGTACTCCAGTCTGGTGATGGCATGAGACGCTATCTCAAAAACAAAAAACAAAACATTAACCTAAGCAAAGCCAGGTACATTCTATGTGATTTCACTCACAGGAACTCCAAGAACATTCAAACCATGTATTAAGAAACGGAGGTGATGGTCATAGGAGTGAGGAGTCTACTAAAAAGGAGTATAAAGAGAATTTTCTCGGGTGACAGCAATTTGACAGATAGTTGGCCCTCTGTATTGTGGGTTCTGCGTCGGTAGATTCAACCAAACTCTGAAAATACTAGGGAAAAAAAGAGAACTGTGTACTGAATATGTACAAACTTCTCTTCCTTGACATTATTCCTTAAAAAATACAGTATAGGCCAAGCACAGTGGCTCAGGCCTATAACCCCAGCACCTTGGGAGGCAGAGGCGGGTGGATCATAAGGTCAGGAGATCAAGACGAGCTGGGCTAATATGGTGAAACCCAGTTTCTACTAAAACTACAAAAAATTAGCTGGGCCTGGTGGCACGCACCTGTAATCTCAGCTACTCAGGAGGCTGAGGCAGGAAAATTGCTTGAACCCTGGAGGTGAAGGTTGAAGTGAGCTGAGATTGTGCCACTGCACTCCAGCCTGGGTGGCAGGGCGAGACTCTGTCTCGAAAAAAAAAAGACCCGGCCGGGCGTGGTGGCTCATGTCTGTAATCCAAGCACTTTAGAGGCCAAGGCGGGCAGGAGGACCACTTGAGGTTGGAAGTTCAAGATCAGCCTGACTAACATGGTGAAATCCCATCTTTTATTTAAAAAAAAAAAAAGACCCCCCAAACTCCCCAAACAGTATAACAATTATTTACATAGACCATACATTGTGTAATCTAGAGAAAATTTAAGCTATATGGGAGGACGGGCATAGGTTATATGCAGATACTACACCATTATTTTTTTTTTTTTGAGATGGAGTCTCATTCTGTCGCCTAGGCTGGAGTGCAGTGGCGGGGTCTCAGTTCATTGCAACCTCTGGCTCCTGGGTTCAACCAACTTTCCTGCCTTGGTCTCCTGAGTAGGTGGGATTATAGGCATCTGCCACCACACCTGGCTAATTTTTGTATTTTCAGTAGAGACAGGGGTTTTGCCATGTTGGCCAGGCTGGTCTTGAACTCCTGACCTCAACTGATCTACCCAACTCGACCTTTCAAAGTGCTGGGATTACAGGCGTGAGCCACGGTGCCCAGCCCACCATTTTATTTAAGGGACTTGGGTGTCTGTTGATTTGGTGATTTATGGAGGGTCCTGAAACCAGTCCCTGGCAGATACTGACAGATAACTGTACCTTGTTTCAGATGGTCAAGGCAGGTGTATAGAATTGTAAAAACTCTTCAAATTGAATACCTAAGATCTGTGCATTTTATTGTATGAAAAAAATACAAGGCAGAAGAAGGTAGACTAAGTTATGGTATATAGCACTCATTAAGAATAATATAGCTACACTTACTTGTGTAAAAAAAGACTAATGCTCTGAATTTTTTTTTTTTTTTTTTTTTGAAAAAATTTTCTCTTTTCCGGCGGGCTCTCTGAGTGCAGTGGCAAGATCTTGGCTCACTGCAACCTCCGCCTCCCCGGTTCAAGTGACTCTCCTGCCTCAGCCTCCCGAGTAGCTGGGACTACAGGCACACGCCACCGTGCCCAGCTAATTTTTTTTTTTTTTTTGTATTTTGTATTTGAGACAGGGTTTCACCATGTTGGCCAGGATGCTCTCGATCTCTTAACCTCGTGATCCACCTGCCTTGGCTTCCCAAAGTGCTGGGATTATAGGCATAAGCCAACATGTCCAGCCTGCTCTGAATATTTTAAGTAAAATAAATGAAACTATTGGCTTTACAAACATAATTTTTGTTTTTAAAAGACAGTCTTACTCTGTTGCCCAGGGTGGAGTGTAGTGGCACAATCTCGACTCACTGCAACCTCAACCTCCTGGGTTCAAGCAATTCTCCTACCTCAGCCTCGCAAGTAGCTGCGATTACAGGCACCCGCCACCATGCCCAGCAAATTTTTTTGTATTTTTAGTAGAGACGGGGTTTCACCATATTGGCCAGGCTAATCTTGAACTCCTGACCTTGTGATCTGCCTGCCTCGGCCTCCCCAAAGTGACTTACCAAGAGGTTTTCTTTTGAGCTGGTCCTTCTCTACATATTTATCAAAACAGTCATGTAAAAATTAAGCAATCTTTACCACTTGCTCTGTTCAAAGTGTTATTTACATGTTGGAGAAATGCTGCAGAAGAGTGGGAATAACCTGACTTATGGTAGGATACTAGGTTCCTGACCCCATATGTCATATAGATTCATGAACTACAGCATAGGATTTATAACATCTGCTTATTACATAGTTAAGAAGTCAGATAGCTCTCATATCTTTTTTTTCCCATTATATTTCCTTTTTTTTGATACAGAGTCTTACTCTGTCACCCAGGCTGGAGTGTAATGGTGCTATCTCAGCTTACTGCAACTTCTACCTCCCAGGGATTACAGGTGCCTGCCACCATGCCCAGCTAATTTTTGTATTCTTAGTAAAGATGGGGTTTCACCATGTTGGCCAGGTTGGTCTCGAAACCTGACCTCAGGTGATCCACTCACCTCAGCCTCCCAAAGTGCGGGGATTACAGGTGTAAGCCACCACGCCTGGCCTCTTTTCTTTTTTATGACAAGGTCTGGCTCTGTCACCCAGGCTGGAGGGCAGTGGCGTGATCGTGGCTCATGGCAAGCTCCATCACTTGGGCTCAATCAATCCTGATTCAGTCTCCCAAGTATATGGGACTACAGACACATGCCACCACACCCAGCTGAATTTTTTTTTTTTTTTTTTTGAGATGGGGGTCTTCCTCTGTCGCCAAGGCTGGAGTACAGTGGCACAATCTCAGCTCCTTGCAACCTCCACCGGGTTCAAGCAATTCTCCAGCCTCAGCCTCCTGAAAAACTGGGATTACAGGTGCACACCACCATGCCCAGCTAATTTTTCTATTTTTAGCAGAGATGGGGTTTTGCCATGTTGGTCAGGCTGGTCTTGAACTCCTGACCTAAGGTGATCCACCTACTTCTGCCTCTCAAAGTGCTGAGATTACAGATATAAGCTACCACACCTGGCTGGAATTTTTTATTTTTTGTAGAGATGGGGTTTCATCATATTGTCCAGGCTGGTCTCAAACTTGTGAGCTCAAGTGATAGGACCACACCCAGCCTTTCAATTTTGTTGTATCTTTAATCATGCTTTGGTCTTACTTATCTGATTAGGATTTTAAGTACCCCATTATGGCATCCTGGTAATGAACAAATAATCCGTATTTATTATTTGGAAAATCAGAATGACATTTAGAGTATACCAAATTGTATTGCTTGCCATTTCCGATATTCTCCTGTTTCTGGTTAGCCTCACACAACATATTTCCTTATTGTCCATTCTTCTTATATGGAAATACTATTCATTTCTCCTCTCCCTGCTATGCCTAAATCCTACTAATTTTAAATACTCAAACTATTTATTTCATAAATACTTCATTTATGCTCCTAATCAAAAGTTATCTGAATTTGTTTAGTACCTTGTACCTTGTAATTATCTTAAGTATTTAAGATACTCTAACATACTAGTTTTTTGTACACGTCATGAAGACATTATTAGTTTAACATTTCTCAGATTTCTTTGTATAACATCTTTCTCATAATAGGCACTTAAATATTGAATGAATATTTTGCAAAATAAAACCCAAATGCAAAAAACAAGACACTTGAGTCTGTGTTGCCAAGGTCCCACATGAAAAATATATTTATCTCTAATTCGGGGAAGTACATACCAGTGATGCTGTCCGTATAGTAGCAAAGTGTTCTCGATTACGATAGTGCGATTTGTGACGAGATACTTGGGGTGGAGACTGTGGATCTGATGTTCTTGTTCTAGGATCTCCTTCTTCTCTGTAATTTTCTTCCTCCTAGGCAAAAAAAGAGACAATACTATGTAAGGTGAAAAGTTTGTTTGAACCTTTATGGAAATTAAAGTTTAAAGACAACTTGATCAATAAAACTCAAAGACATAATTCTAAAAAGCAAAAAAAAGTAGAAATGCTGATTTTCTTTTCTTTTCAGAAACAGGATCTCACTTTGTCACCCAGATTGGAGTATAGTGGCGTGACCATAGCTCACTGTAGCTTCAACCACCCAGGCGCAAACGATCTGCCCACCTCAGACTTCTGAGTAGCTGGAATTATAGGCACGGGCTACCAGGCCAGGCTAATTTTATGTTTTTAGAAATGAGATCTCCCTGTGTTACCTAGGCTGCTCTAGTACTCCTGGGCTCAAGCGATCTTCCCTCCTTGGCCTTCCAAAGTGCTGAGATTACAAGTGCGAGTCAGTGCACTGAGCTTTATTTTCAATACAATTCGAATTTGAAGAAATTTTTTGTACAGTGTATAAAATAGTACACAGACTCAAGAGAAGGAAATGCACGTGACTAGATTGACTGATTAGCTCACCACATCCTCAACTTTCTGGGCTCAAGTGACCCTTCTGCCTTAGCCTCCCAGGTAGCTGGGACCACAGGCATGCACTACTATGCCCAGCTGACTTTTTTATTTTTTGTAGAGATGGCATTTTGCCATGTTGCCCAGGATGGTCTTGAACTACTGGGTTCCAGTGATCTGCCTGCCTTGGCCTCCCAAAGTGTTGGGATTACTGTGCCTGGCACATGACTAGATTACATGCAAAATTGAAAAGCTTTAATGTAAGTTGAAAACAAAGATGGTGAAACATGTAGCCAATATAGTCAATGTTTTAAACAGCAGTAGTAGAAAATAAATTGCTCAAAGTCTCTTTGGTTTTGGAAGCAATGGAGCTACCTTTATGATACTTCTGCCCTCTGTCCAAAATAAGCAAAAACAAAAACAGTTGTGAAAAACTTAAGGACTGATATCTTTCCTTGAACTCAATTTGTCAGCTGAAGAGAAGGAACATTAGTTAAGTAGCAACCAATTAATTATGGGAATAAACTTTTTTTTCGAGATTGGGCCTCATTTTGCTGTCCAGACTGCAGTGCAGTGGTAGGATCAAGGCTCACTGCAGTCTTGATCTCCAAGGCTCAACTGATTCTCCACTACTCACTGGGACTCCAGTACTCAGCCTCTTCAGTAGCTGGGGCCACAGTATGCATAGGCCAAACCTGGCAATCTTTTTTTTTTTTTTTTTTTTTTTGAGGTGGAGTCTCGTTCTGTCACCAGGCTGAGTGTAGTGGTGGGATCTGGGCTCACTGCAACCTCTGCTTCCTGGTTCAAGTGATTCTTCTGCCTCAGCCTCCCAAGCAGCTGGGACAACAAGTGCACACCACCACGCCCGGCTAACTTTTGTATTTTTTAGTAGAGACGGGGTTTCACCATGTTGGTCAGGATGGTCTCGATCTCTTGACCTTGTGATCCACCCACCTTGGCCTGCCAAAGTGATGGGATTACCTACTACTTTTAGATAATAATGCAAGCAGTGAAGTGAAAAAGGAAGCATTCCTATTTTTGTTTGTTTGTTTTTTGAGATACAGTCTGACTCTGTCACCTAGGTTGAGGTGCAGTAGTACAATCTTGGCTCACTGCAACATCTAACTCCTGGGTTCAAGTGATCCTCCCACCTTAGCCTCCTTAGTAGCTGGGATTAGAAGCATGCACCACCATGCTGAGCTAATTTTTAAATTTTTTGTAGAGACAGGGTTTCACCACGTTGCCCAGGCTGGCCTCCAACTCCAGTCTCAATCAATCTGCCCACCTCAGCTTCCCAAAGTGCTGGAATTACAAGGGTGGGTCTCCACTCCCAGCCTTAGCATTCCTATTAATTGTTAAAAGGAGTTACCTGACTTTCCAATATTTTTCAAAAAATTAAAAATTTTATACTCAAAAACGTAAAGAATAATGCTGTAAACAGCCACATTTCCTCAACCCAGAATCCACATTTTCTACCATTACATTCAGCTTTATTTTTAAGATATAAACATCTTGGCGCGGTGGCTCACACCTGTAATCCCAGCACTTTGGGAGGCTGAGGTGGGCGATCACTTGAAGTCAGCAGTTCAAGACCAGCCTGGCCAACAGGGTGAAACCTTATCTCTACTAAGAACACAAAAATTAGCCAGGCAGGGTGGTATGTGCCTATAATTCCAGCTACCTGCGAGACTGAGCCAGGAGGATCACTTGAACCTGAGAGATGGAGGTTGCAGTGAGCCAAGATCGTAGCCACTGCTCTCCAGCCTGGGCGACAGAGTGAGACTCCATCTCAAAAACAAACAAACAAACAAACAAACAAAAAAAACCACACACATATATATATATATAAACATATTGATAAAAAAAAAAACACACATATATATATATATATATATATATATATATATATAAACATATCGATAACATGAAAGTCACTTTTGATCATCACTCATCCCAACCATTTCTCACTCCCTAAAGGCAACCATTATCGTGAATTTCATGTGAATCCTTTCTATTTTTTAGTATTTTATTTTCCATGTAAATGACTTCAAATAATATATTTGAAATTTTTATATCTTTTCTAATATTTTAAAATAATTCCACATTCTTTTTTTATTCTGAAAATATTAATTTTCCAAATGGAGATAACAGGTTAGGAGTTACCAAAGTTATTTCCATTAAAAAAAAAAGTTCCAAACTTTTTTTTTTTTTTTTTGAGACAGGGTCTCACTCTGTCTCCCAGGCTGGACTGCAGTGGTGCAATCTTGGCTCACTGCAACTTCCACCTCCCAGGTTCAAGTGATTCTCCCACCTCAACCTCCCAAGTGGCTGGGAGTACAGGCATGCGCCACCACGCCTAGCTAATTTTTGTATTTTTAGTAGAGAAAGGGTTTCATCATGTTGGCCAGGTGGGTCTCAAACTCCTGGCCTCAAGTGATCCAACCCCCTCGGCCTCCCAAAGTGCTGGGATTACAGGCGTCTAGCTATGTTCCAAACTTGTGGAAACTTCCCTTTTTTCCTTCTTCCTTCTCTTAAACTAACATGAAGAAAACAGTTTACCAACACTGAATTTTTTTCATAGAAATCCAAATACTCACAGGTTTTAAGTGGATAACAGAACTGTTAGACATGACTGTGTGGTCTCCCTCCATCATGTCTAGCTCACTCTTGTCATCTGAGACATCTGGAAGACTGTTAACACTACTGCTTTGGCTGCTGGCACTGATGGACATACTGGGAATAGACTGATTACTTCCAACACTATTCACTGTTCCTGTCCGGCCAACACCATGATCTTGTTCCTAAGAGAAAAGAAGATTCAGATTCAGTTCAAATATTTATATCTCTTCTGAATTCTTGATTATAAGCACCTAGCACAGTATTCGGCACAGAGTCTCATTAGAAAGTTGGTCTATCATGAGAAATTCCTTTTATTTTCCAAGACCAGAAAGTTTATCAACCATTAGTTTATTGAAAAACAAAACTGACCAACAAGTAAATAACAAAAAACTCAACGAATTGTCTACAACAAAGTCAGTTGACCAGTTTTGGGTGATTTTCAAAGTATAATATTTTCTCTCAATTGCTCGACTTTTTAAGTAACCATTTCTACAATATATCTCATGGGGTATATATAGAGATCCTGCTCATTTCTCAATAATTTTTGGTTAATACAAATCATCCTTAAAAAAAAAAAAAAGTACTGGTTATTTTGGGCACACTGCCTATTCAGTAGCCCTGCTCCATAAGGAGCATTAAAAAAAAAAAAAAATTACTAAAAACCCCATTGTAGCTGTTATTCTTCCTTAATGAATCAGCCTTTTACAAGTAGATTCTTTATTCCTGAAAACATAGTCTCTAGATTACCTGTCTTGTTTTTCGTTATTTTTTCTTGCATTTCAATAGGTTTTGGGGGGACTTTAGATTATCTTTTTACCACCAAATAATTTAACATTAATTCCTAACTATTCTTGTGTAAACTAACAATTACACATTATATTATTTCAAATGACAATCATAAGAAAACAGGCGGCCTGTAGTATCTGGGTACCAACATTACAGTAGTCTTACCATACTAGAATTCTGTAAGATATGCAGAATTTAATAAACTACAGACATATATATAAATAGGGATATTTCTTATATCCCTAGCCTAACAGAGATATTGTTAATGATTTAACTACATAGAACTTTATTCATTTCACAACTTTATTAAAGTATTTCACATATCTGAAATAATCCCAATTTTCTAGTGACTATCATTAAGAACTAAAAAAAAATTCCCAAACCAAAAATTTTAAGTTTAAAAAGTCTTACATTTGACTGTTTGTTAATTATTTAGTGATATTTAAAAAAAAAAAAAAAAAAGAAACTATTGTTCATGGTTTCAGAATGCAAAGTGGTCTCTCTCAATGGAAAGCAAAAGAAAAGAATAAAATTTTTTGGAATTCTGACAGGGGCAAAGAAGAAACAAAATATTTAGAGAAAACAATAGCTTTACACATAATATACTTTATATGTATATTTCTTCATGAGGAAGTTTGTAACACTTCTATAGCAAATCTGCATTACCATTCTCCCTAAGAGGTAACACAGGAAGAACTTGGCCTTAAGAGTAAAAGAGGTGGCCGGGCGCGGTGGCTCACGCCTGTAATCCCAGCACTTTGGGAGGCCGAGGCAGGTGGATCACGAGGTCAAGAGATCGAGACCATCCTGGTCAACATGGTGAAACCCCGTCTCTACTAAAAATACAAAAAATCAGCTGGGCATGGTGGCACGTGCCTGTAATCCCAGCTACTCAGGAGGCTGAGGCAGGAGAATTGCCTGAACCCAGGAGGCGGAGGCTGCGGTGAGCCGAGATCGCGCCATTGCACTCCAGCCTGGGTAACAAGAGTGAAACTCCGTCTCCAAAAAAAAAAAAAAAAAAAAAAAAAAGTAAAAGAGGTATGAATTTGAACCCATGTTCCTCTATCTACAGTGAGCAACTTAATTCTCAGCCATGCTTTCCTCATCTGTAAAATGAGTATTTTAGAACAGTGTAGGCTGGGTGCAGTGGCTCACACTTGTAATCCCAGCACTTTGGGAGGTTGAGGCAGACAGATCACTTGAGGCCAGGAGTTCAAGGATAGCCTGGCCAACATAGTGAAACCTTGTGTCTACTAAAAATAAAAAAAATTAGTTGGGTGTGGTGGCACATGCCTGTAGTCCGAGCTACTCAGGAGGTTGAAGGGGGAAAATCGCTTGAACCTAGGAGGTGAAGGTTGGCAGTAAGCCGAGATTGTGCCACCTCCAAACTGGGCTACAGAACAAAACCCTATCTTAAAAAACAAACAAACAAAACCACTGTAGGTAGAATGAAATCAAGTTTCCTTGGTGACAAAGTAGACTGCCTAATAACTTTCTCATGACTTCTCAGAGAGTACATCCAACCTTCAGATTCTGTAATTTCAAGAACTTCCAAAAGCACATCAGATGGAACTGGACAATCAGTCAAAAAAGGGTTCAGGCCGGGCACAGCGGCCCATGCCTATAATCCCAGCACTTTGGGAGGCCAAACTGGGTGGATCACATGAGGTCAGGAGTTCAAGACCAGCTTTGCCACGAGGTGAAACCCCATCTCTACTAAAAATACGAAAAAACAAAACAAAACAAAACAAAACAAAACATTAGCCAGGTGTGGTGGTGTGTGCCTGTAATCCCAGCTAATCGGGAGGTTGAGGCATGAGAATCACTTGAACCTGGGAGGCAGAGTTTGCGGTGAGCCGAGATCACGTCATTGCACTTCAGCCTGGGCAACAAGAGCAAAACTCCATCTCAAAAAAAAAGGGGGGGCGGGTTCAGTGGCCAAGAAATTAGAGAAGGACTAGATTAAACAAAGGTGAACAGGTTTCTTTAATAAAAGAACCTTCACTATGACAATGTATAGCATAAAGGGGTTGGATTTAAAACCTTCAATCTAACATGATTAAAAAGAGTTTAAACAAAATTTTTTTTTATTTTTCTTATTTCTCCAAGGAAAAAGGACATTTTGTCCCCCCACCTAACTGGGATTTTATAGGACCAGTGTTAAGAAAGTACAACCTGGAAACTCTTGGTATATAAGGTATATTATGGCAGGGCAAGCTGCATAAGGAAAGAAACCAATAGAGAAAACTCAACATTGGAGTCATTTATCTATTACCTCTTCTTCTTCCTGTGCTTCTACTGCTGGTCCATTATGTGCCTCCTGGAAAAGCAGTTTTTTCATCTTTCGATATTGCAGATTGTCCAGCTCTCTTACTGCATCCTTTGTCCTCTGAATGAGATCTATTAACACGGTTTCAGGGCGCTCCCGAAGAACAAACATGTGCTAAATAGGGTAGAAGGTAAAAGGCTGATTTTCTTTTTTTCTTCAATTAATGCCAATGTACTCCTTCTCAGACCCTACAGATAATATCCTATGATAGATAACGCATATAATCTCTAGCTAAATGATTCTGTTAAATTTCTTCTATTTATAAAATTATAACTTACATACATGTACTCTGTGCATAACTACTCCTGTACATTTTATAAAAATGGAACATAATATTTTTTCTTTATTTTGAACATATTTTTGTTGGCCAACTAAAAATGCAGAGTTAAAATAATTGAATGGCCGGGCGCGGTGGCTCAAGCCTGTAATCCCAGCACTTTGGGAGGCTGAGGCGGGTGGATCACGAGGTCAAGAGATCAAGACCACCCTGGTCAACATGGTGAAACCCCGTCTCTACTAAAAATACAAAACATTAGCTGGGCATGGTGGCGCGTGCCTGTAATCCCAGCTACTGAGGAGGTTGAGGCAGGAGAATTGCCTGAACCCAGGAGGCGGAGGTTGCAGTGAGCCGAGATCGCGCCATTGCACTCCAGCCTGGGTAACAAGAGTGAAACTCCGTCTCAAAAAAAAAAAATAATAATAATAATAATAATTGAAGGGTTGGTGGGGCACAGTGGCTCACGCCTGTAATCCCAGCACTTTGGGAAGCTGAGGCGGGTGGATAACGAGGTCAAGAAGAGTTCAAGACTAGCCTGACCAACGTGGTTAAACCCCATCTCTACTAAAAATATAAAAATTAGCTGGGCATGGTGGTGCGTGCCTGTAATCCCAGCTTCTTGGGAGGCTGAGGCAGGAGAATTACTTGAACTGGGACCTGCGAAGCAGAGGTTACAGTGAGCCGAGACCACGCCACTGCATGCACTCCAGCCTGGGCTATATCTCAAAAAAAAAAAAAAAATAATAATAATAATAAAATAAATTGAAGGGTCTAAACACTAAGAATTAAGCCCAATCAAAGCTTTCAAGGTCTACATATTCTAAGAACTGAGGATTTCATACAAAAAACATGTTCAGTTCTAAGTCATATTAGGTTTCAACAGGAATGTATTTAGTGATGGTGAATTATGAAAGATGAACTTAGGTATTATGGGTTCCTTTATATGCTGCATGAATCATATTCTTCATAAAATACTAACAGGGATTAAAAGCCATTAAATTATTACTGCTTTTTATAACCTAGCATTTAATATAATTTAACCTTATCAAATACAAAAAGTAGAAAAAACAATTCGACCATTATGATGATCACTATTACACTGTAACATATTTCTTTTCAGAAATTTTCTATGTATAAAATTTGTTTTGTAGATACATAGTTAGCATGTATATTCCAGAAAGACATATTCTGCCATCCCTTGAGTTCCATGAGATATCTTTGAATTCTTAGACAACTTTTACCTTCTTTGTAGCTCAAAATTTATTTCTTCTTTATGCAAAGAGTTGTTAACTATGCATCACAGCCCACTGTAACCTTAAACTTCTGGACTCAAGCAATCCTCCCACCTCAAGCCTCTCAAGCAGCTATGACTACAGGTATGCACCACCATTTCCAGCTAATATTTCTTCTTTTGGTGGGGGTGGTAGAGACAGGGTCTTGCTATGTTGCCCAGGGTGGTCTTGAACTCCTGGCCTCAATTGACCCTCCCAGGTTGGCCTTCCAAAGCACTGGGATTACAGGCATGAACCACTGCGCCCAGCCTCCATACAATATTTTATTCCATTTTCACAGTCATAACTATTATTATTTTAGCTGGGTGCAGTGGCTCATACCTGTAATCACAGCACTTGGGAGACCAAGGCAGGCAGATCACTTGAGGTCAGGAGTTCAAGACCAACCTGGCCAACATAGTGAAACCCTAAAAATATAAAAAATTAGCAGGGCGTGGAGGTGTAGGCCTGTAATCTCAGCTACTCAGAAGGCCGAGGCATGAGAATCACTTGAACCCAGGAGGTGGAGGTTGCAGTGAGCTGAGATCATGTAACTCCACTCCAGCCTGGGTGACAGAGCAAGACTCTGTCTCCGAAACAAAAAATTAATAATTATTATTTAAAACTTATAAACATAATGCCTGTAGAATATTTCATCAAATGTTTGATGAAATATTATTTAAACATTATTTAAACCAAATTATTTAAACATTACTCTAATTTGGGGCAGCTATTTCCAATTTTTAATTACATGATAAATAGCTTCATACATTAAAAATTTTTTATTAATTTTTTTTCTTTTTTTTTCTTTATGATGGACTGCAACAGAAATGTAATTAGGCCAAAAGATAAGAAGCTCATTACAAATATTTCCTATCATTTCAAATAGGGCTGTGATAATACATGCTAGGGGCCAGGCAAATGAATACTATTAATATATGCAGACTTAGGATCTAATCACCAAATACCAGTGGGCTGGGTTACTACTACCTGACTTAGAAAGGCTTCTTTTCCTTATATTTGGTGAACGTAAGAAGCCAGTCACATTCTTCCTTTTTCCTTAGTTTGGTGCATACCACTATTTACAATATTGTCTTCCTCTTTCTTTCCTTTTTTTTTTTTTTTTTTGGAGACAGAATCTCATTCTATCGCCCAGGCTGGAGTGCAGTGGCGCTATCTTGGCTCACTGCAACCTCCGCTTCCAAGGGTTCGAGCGATTTTCGTGCCTCAGCCTCCTAAGTAGTTGGGACTACAGGTGTACACCACCACACTCCGCTAATTGTTGTATTTTTAGTACAGATAGGGTTTCGTCATGTTGTCTAGGCTGATCTCAAACTGCTGACCTCAAGCGATCCACCCATCTCAGCCTCCCAAAGAGTTGGGGTTATAGGCATGGGCCACCGTGCCTGATCTACTATTTATAATATTGTCTTATCCAAAACATAAAACCTTATATTTCTAAGTTTCACTGTTTGTTAGATTTTGCTGTTTTTTTTTTTTTTGAGACAGAGTCTTACTCTGTCACCCAGGCTGGAGTGCAGTGGCACGATCTTGGCTTACTGCAACCTCTGCCTCCTAAGGAGCTGGGACTACAAGCACGTACCACCATGCCTGGCTTTTTTTTTTTTTTTTAAGTAGAGACAGGGTTTCACCATGTTGGCCAGGCTGGTTTTGAACTCCTGACCTTGTGACCCGCCCACATCAGCCTCCCAAAATGCTGGGATTACAGGTGTGAGCCACTGTGGCCGGCTGCTTATTTTTTTTTAACCAACATAATTCCTAGCTATATTAACGCTTCTGCTAGCTACTATGAGTGCCTATTTATTCAGGCTTTCATTTCTTAAATGACGAGTAAGCTTACTGCCTGGGATTTCTCAACCGTTACTGAAATTTTGCATGGCTTTTCTATACACTGTGGGTGCAAATAATACTACTGAATATATATGTGATCCTTTCAAATTAATTTGTGGCTTTAACTGATGTGTCAGTGAAATAAACTGAACTTGTTTGAAATTCTAAGACATTAGTGTAAATATAGTTTACTTAATCTTTTTCTTTTTTTCTTTCTTTTTTTTTTTTTTGAGATGGAGTCTCACTCTGTCACCCAGGCTGGAGTGCAGTGGCACGACCTCGGCTCACTGCAACCTCTGCCTCCAGTTCAAGCGATTCTTCTTCCTTAGCCTCCTCAGTAGCTGAGATTACAGGTGCATGCCACTACGCCGAGCTAATTTTTGTATTTTTAGTAGAGATGAGGTTTCACCATCTTGGCCAGGTTGGTCTCGGTCTCCAACTCCTAACCTTGTGATCCACCTGTACCTCAGCCTCCCAAAGTGCTGAGATAACAGGTGTGAGCCACCTTGCCAAGCCAGTTTACTTAAATCTTATAGTAAAAGATTAAAAAGATTCCTTGGGGTCCCAAAAAGATAGAGCCAAATCCTACTTATCATTGTCTAACGTAAATATTTTAAGAACTATAATAAAGTCAGTAATATTACTATTGCTATTAATAAGACAACCCTCAAATGAAATATTTTTTAAGACCAGAAAGCATACACAAATCATGTATTTAAATTAGTTAACCAAGTCTGCTGAAAACTGAATAGAACGCACATATTTTAAAAATATTTCATTGCCAAGTTAGAAAAATATATTTCCAAATAAGGAAACAGTAGTATTATTTCCAAGCTCCTCTTCTCCCACATGTAATGTAAATACATTCATGTTATATATCTTTCTTTCATATTATATTAATATTAGACAGATCAATATATTAAGTGTGGCAGATCTAAAAATTAAGCAAAAGCCTGGGCATGGTGACTCACACCTATAATCCCAGCATTTTGGGAGGCCTAAGGTGGGCAGATCACAAGGTTAGGAGTTTGAGACCAGCCTGGCCAATATGGTGAAACCCCGTGTCTACTAAAAATACAAAAATTAGCCGGGCATGGTGGCAGGCACCTGTAGTCTCAACTATTCGGGAGGCTAAGGCAGGAGAATCGCTTGAACCAGGGAATCGGAGGTTGCAGTGAGCTGAGATTGCACCACTGCACTCCAGCCTGGGCGACAAAGCGAGACTCTGTCTCAAAACAAAACAAAACAAAACAAAACAAATCAAGCAAAAAGTTCAACTATGTTTTATCAACTTTGAAATAAGACACTATTCCACATGAATTCAAATTTATAACTCATGAACATATTCTTGCACATGTAAGTATTTGGCTATTTGAATACTTGGCTATATATTTAGACACGGTAACAGCAGCTAATCAATTTGAAAAAAAAATTAAAAAATTTAGTATCTATAAAAAAAGAAAAAAAAATTTAGTACCTAAGAAAAGTTCCCAGAAACAACAGTATAAAAAAACAAGTATTTCAGTAAAAACTAGTAGAGTTACTTAATCCTAATTCAGAATCATAATAAAATACATTCTTTACAATCATTTCTTAGGGATAAGAACAAATTTAAAGTATAATAGAACTGGTGGCTCACGCCTATAATCCCAGCACTGAGAGGCTGAGGCAGGTGGATCATGTGAGCCCAGGAGTTCGATACCAGCTTTGGCAATGTGGCAAAACCCTGTTTCTACCACAAACACAAAAATTAGCCAGGTAGAGTGGTGAGTGTCTGTAGTCCCAGCTACTTGGGAGGCCGAGGTGGGAGGATCGCTTGAGCCTGGTGGTCAAGGCTGCAGGAGTCGTGATTGTGCCGCTGCACACCAGCCTGGGTGACAAAGTGAGACCCTGTCTTAAAATAAAATAAACTATAATAGAACTGACCTTTAAAAGTTCCTCTGATGTAGGACGATCTTGAGGGATTTTCTGGAGGCAAGAATCTACAAAGTTTCGAAAATAATCAGACCTATTGTAAAGGAAAGTATCAAGTGAACATATTGCTATTTCCTTTAAAAATACATCCACAAATCATGGCAAGTGCCGACTGGTGGGAGGGGGAATGGAAAGGGAATTCTTAAAAAAAAGCAGAGACTATATAGTTTCATATAAGTCTATGAAAATCAATGGAAAGCAACCAATGAATGGTTACCATTTTCCAAAGATAAACTCACACAGATAACTTTAAAATCCTGCTCCTATATATTTACATATCACAACACATACCACATTGAGGCAGAATGAGGGAAGCCTATCTACTTTTTATTTTTGCATTCAAATCCAAGATAACATTCCATTCCTTTCCATTTCCCTTTTCTTTTCCTTTTTGCTAAGCCTTTCTTATAATAAGCTCTTTCTTATTATAAGACCTCTTATAATAAGCTTTCTTGGCCTGGCGCTGTGGCTCACACCTGTAATCCTAGCACTTTGAGAGGCCAAGGTGGGTGGATCACCTGAGGTCAGGAGTTCAAGACCAGCCTGGCCATCATGGTGAAACCCCATCTTTAAAAAAAAAAAAAAAAAAAGCTTTCTTATAATAAGCTCTTTCTTATTTGCCCCTTGGATCGTCTTCTATATAGCATGTTTCAGAATATCACTCTATCTGCTCTGGAGAGAGCATTTTTATACCTGAGTATTTGGTGCCCCTGAGCAAATGGATAAGACTTCCATTAAACCTAGAAAACCAATTAAGATATTTCTAAGAGCCGGGCGCGATGGCTCAAGCCTGTAATCCCAGCACTTTGGGAGGCCAAGGCGGGTGGATCACGAGGTCAAGAGATTGAGACCATCCTGGTCAACATGGTGAAACCCCGTCTCTACTAAAAATACAAAAAATTAGCTGGGCATGGTGGCGCGTGCCTGTAATCCCAGCTACTCAGGAGGCTGAGGCAGGAGAATTGCCTGAACCCAGGAGGCGGAGGTTGCGGTGAGCCGAGATTGCGCCATTGCACTCCAGCCTGGGTAACATGAGTGAAACTCCGTCTCAAAAAAAAAAAAAGATATTTTTAAGAGCCAGATGCGGTGGTTCACACCTGTAATCCCAGAACTTTGGGAGCTGAGGCGGGTGGATTACCAGAGGTCAGGAGTTGGAGATCAGCCTGACTAACATGGAGAAAACCCCTTCTCTACTAAAAATACAAAATTAGCCAGGTGTCGTTGAGCGCTCCTGTAATCCCAGCTACTTGGGAGGCTGAGGTAGGAAAATCACTTGAACTCGGGAGGCAGAGGTTATAGTGAGGCAAGATTGCACCACTGCACATGAGCAAAACTCAGTCTCCAAAAAAAAAAAGGTATTTTTAAAAACATTAGAAGTCTGTAACACATTATTATATAGTGTTATTGACAAGAGTTCAATGAGTAAGGCAGTAAATAATTACTCCGTCAATGTTTGTCTCTAATATTCAAATAAGATTTTAAGTTCCTTGTAGGCAAAAATTCTTTTATAAATCCCCAAGTCTCAAACACAGTCTGTGTTCAATCTATTTATTACTTGTATGTAACAGATATGGTTTCAATGTTTTTGTTTTCTCCAAAACTAATACTGAAACTTAATCTCCAATGCAACAGTGTTGGGAGGTGGGGCCTAATGGGAATTGTTCAGGTCATGAATGGGTTAATGCTGCTATAAAAAGGACTTGCAGGAGAGGGTTCTCTCTCTCTCCTGCTCTTTGCCATGTGAGGACACAATGCTTCTCCCCTCCAAAGGATGCAGAGTTAAAGGCACCATCTTGGAAGCAGGAGGACCAGGGCCTAATCTGCCAGTGCCTTCATCCCGGACTTCCCAGCCTCCATAAAGTGAGAAATAAATATCTGTTCTTTACAAATTACCTGGCCTCTGATATTCTGTTATAGCAGTGCAAAATGTACTAAAGCATACCATAACACTAAACTCAGTGTCAAAAGATTCGTTCTGTATAATTCTAAACACAAAGTAGAGTTATAGAGAAAACAGTCTTTTGGCACAGAATTTTAGCATTATGTATTTGTTTAGTAGAGTTATATGGCATATTCTTTTCTTTTTTTTTTTGAGGCGGAGTTTAGCTCGTTACCCAGGCTGGAGTGCAATGGTGCGAACTCTGCTCACCGCAACCTCCGCCTCCTGGGTTCAAGCAATTCTCCTGCCTCAGCCTCCTACGTAGCTAGGACTACAGGCATGCACCACCATGCCCAGCTAATTTTTGTATTTTTAGTAGAGACGGGGTTTCACCATGTTGACCAGGATGGTCTCAATCTCTTGACCTTGTGATCCACCCGCCTCAGCCTCCAAAAGTGCTGGGATTATAGGCATGAGCCACTGCGCCCAGCCATATGGCACATTCTTTTTTTTTTTTTAAACGGAGTTTCGCTCTTGTTACCCAGGCTGGAGTGCAATGGCGCGATCTCGGCTCACCACAACCTCCGCCTCCTGGGTTCAGGCAATTCTCCTGCCTCAACCTCCTCAGTAGCTGGGATTACAGGCACGCACCACCATGCCCAGCTAATGTTTTGTATTTTTAGTAGAGACGGGGTTTCACCATGTTGACCAGGATGGTCTCGATCGCTTGACCTCGTGATCCACCCGCCTCAGCCTCCCAAAGTGCTGGGATTACAGGCGTGAGCCACCGCGCATATGGCACCTTCTTAAGTGGCAAAGACTCATATCAATATGCCATAATTATGTAATCTTTAAATAATTTAGTACCCCTAATTTATATATCTGTGAATTACAAAGTATTTATTAAATATGCTCAACATTCCCCTAGAATTTATCAAATGCTAGATAAGGAAAAGTGAAATATAAATTCTTATGAAAATGAATATTTTCCGCATTCATGTGACATCATTCATCCTTTTCTGAACTGTTATACATATGCTATGAAATGGAGACATGACAAAGGATATATATAATATTTAAAAGGATAAAATAGCCTATTTTAATATATTATAAGGTGATACATTTTACCTAATTGAAATTATATCATTTTGATAACAGATTACAAAAAAGCATTTCATTTATTCAATATTGAGCAATATATCTTAACAATACTCACCATTCATTAGACTGTAGTGTAGGGGATTCATTTTGGGCTATGTGATATAAGGCACTCATTGCATTCATATTAAATAAAGGAGGCTTCCTTTCCGCTGTAAAAGAAACATTCCTGTTAAAATATGTGCCGGGGTACTTAAGTACTGGTCACAACTTTTTTTAAAAAATGATTTTATTTTGAAACAGTCTTAAACTTACCCAAAAAACTGCAAGTAGAGTTCAAAGAGCTTTTTTTCTTTTTCTTTTTTTTTCTGAGACAGGGTCTTACTCTGTCACCCAGGCTGCAGTGCAGTGGCACAATCTCAGCTCACTGCAGCTTTGACCTCCTGTGCTCAAGCAATCCTCCCACCTCAGACTCCCAAGTAGCTGGGACCACAGGTGTGCACCACCATGCCCAATTAATTTTTGTATTTTCTGTAGAGGTGGGGTTTCACCATGTTGCCCAAGATAGTCTTGAACTCTTGAGCTCAAGCAATCCTCCCAACTTGGTCTCCCAAAGTGCTAAGATTATAGGCATCAGTCACCACCCCCACCCCACCTCAAAAAACTTTTTCAGGTGAATCAATTGAAAATAAATTGCTAACCTGATGTCTCACCATCCTTAATATATACTTGAGTGTGTATTTCCTATAAAGAAGAACATTTTCCTAAGGAACCACAGTACATCCATTAGATCAGGCCATTTAATAGTGATACATAACTATCATCTAATCCCCAAACTATGTTCAACTTTCATTCATGTGTCCTAGTAATATCCTGAGTAGCAATAGTGAGCTTTGAGCACTGGCAATCTTCAAGGAATGTGTTCGCTGTATCCAAGTGGTCAAACTTATTGACATAAAATTGTTCATATTTCCCCATTACTCTTTTAATGTCTGTAAAATCTGTAGTGATTATCATCTCTTACTCCTGATATTGGAAATTTGTGTCTTCTCTCTTTTTTTTTTGTGATTAGTTTGGCTAGAGGTTTAACAATTTTTTTGATCTAAGATTCCCAGTTTTTGGTTTCATTGATTTTCTCTATTGTTTCTCAGTTTTCTATTCAACTGATTTCTGCTTTGATCTTTATTATCCTCTACCTTCTGCTTATTTTGTGTTGACTTTACTCTTTGTTTAGTTTATATATATATATATATATTTTTTTTATTGTACTTTAGATTCTGGGGTACATGTGCAGATCATGCAGGATTGTTGCATAGGTACATACATGGCAATGTGGTTTGCTGCCTCCATCCCCCCGTCACCTGTATCTGACATTTCTCCCCATGGTATCCCTCCTCAACCTCCCTACCCACTGCTGTCCCTCCCCTAATCCCCCCAACAGACCCCAGTGTGTGATGCTCCCCTCCCTGTGTCCATGTGTTCTCATTGTTCAACACTCGACCATGAGTGAGAACATGTGGTGTTTGAATTTCTGTTCTTGTGTCATTTTCCTGAGAATGATGGTTTCCAGATTCATCCATGTCCCTAAAAAGGACACAAACTCGTCGTTTTTTATGGCTGCATAGTATTCCAGTGTATATGTGCCACATTTTCCTTGTCTAGTCTATCATCGATGGGCATTTGGGTTGGTTCCAGGTCTCTGCTATTGTAACCAGTGCCATAATGAACATATGTGTGCATGTGTCTTTATAACAGAACAATTTATAATCCTTTGGATATGTACCCAGTAATGGGATTGCTGGGTCAAACAGGAATTTCTATTTTTAGGTTCTTGAGGAATCACCACACTATCTTCCACAATGGTTGAACTAATTTATACTCCCACCAACAGTGTAAAAATGTTCCTATTTCTTCACATCCTCTCTAGCATCTGTTGTCTCCAGATTTTTTAATGATCTCCATTCTAACTGGTATGAGATGGTATCTCAATATGGTTTTGATTTGCATCTCCCTAATGACCAGTGATGATAAGCATTTTTTCATGTTTGTTGGCCTCATATATGTCTTCTTTTGAGAAGTGTTCATGTCCTTTGCCCACTTTTGAATGGGTTTTATTTCCTGTAAATCTGTTTTCACTCTTTGTAGATTCTGGATATTAGCTCTTTGTCAGAGAGGTAAATTGCAAATTTTTTTTTCCCTATTCTGTTGGTTGCCGGTTCACTCCTAATGATTGTTTCTTTTGCTGTACAGAAGCTCTGGAGTTTAATTAGATCCCATTTATCTATTTTGGCTTTTGTTGCTGTTGCTTTTGGTGTTTTGGTCATGAAGTCCTTGCCTATGCCTACGTCCTGAATGGTTTTGCCTAGGTTTTCTTTTAGGGTTTTTATGGTGTTAGGTCTAATGTTTAAGTCTTTAATCCATCTGGAGTTAATTTTAGTGTAAGGTGTCAGGAAAGGGTTCAGTTTCTGTTTTCTGCACATGGCTACTCAGTTATCCCAACACCATTTATTAAACAGGGAATCCTTTCCCCGTTGCTTGTTTTTGTCAGGTTTGTCAAAGATCAGATGGTTGTAGATGTGTGGCGTTGCCTCTGAGGCCTCTGTTCTGTTCCATTGGTCTAAATCTCCATTTTGGTACCAGTACCATGCTGTTTTGATTACTGTAGCCTTGTAGTACAGTTTGAAGTCAGGTAGCATGATGCCTCCAGCCATGTTATTTTTGCTTAGGATTGTCTGGCTATGTGGGCTCTCTTTTGGTTCCATATGAAGTTTAAGGTGGTTTTTTCCAGTTCTGTGAAGAGGGTCATAGGTAGCTTGATGGGGATAGCATTGAATCTATAAATTACTTTGGGCAGTATGGCCATTTTTAGTTTCTTAAGGTAAAAATTGAAGTCATGACTTTGACAAATTGAAGTGCAGTCGCTCTTCTGAATCTGTGGGTTCTGCATCCACAGACTGAAACAACCAATAGAAATATTTCAACCACAGACTGAAAATGCTTGGGGAAAAAATAATAAAAATAACAATATGGGCCGGGCGCGGTGGCTCAAGCCTGAAATCCCAGCACTTTGGGAGGCTGAGGCGGGTGGATCACGAGGTCAAGAGATCGAGACCATCCGGGTCAACATGGTGAAACCCCGTCTCTACTAAAAATACAAAAAATTAGCTGGGCATGGTGGCGCGTGCTTGTAATCCCAGCGACTCAGGAGGCTGAGGCAGGAGAATTGCCTGAACCCAGGAGGCGGAGGTTGCGGTGAGCCGAGATCGCGCCATTACACTCCAGCCTGGGTAACAAGAGCGAAACTCCGTCTCAAAAAAAAAAATAAAATAAAAATAACAATATAACAATAAAAATAAAAATTTTTAAGACAACTACTTACATGGCATTTATATTGTATTAGGTATGATAAGTAATCCAGATATTATTTAAAGTATTTGGGAGGATATGTACAGGTTACATGCAGAAACTACACCATTTTATATGAGCCTTAAGCATCTGCACTTTTTGTAATCTGTGGGGGTTCTGGAACCAGTTCTCTCAAGATACTGAGACATATGGGGCTCTAGAATGTCCCTCAGTTTGAGTTTTTCTGACATTTCCTATTATTAGAGTTAGGCTAAACACTTTTGGCAGCAATATCACAGTGGTAATGCTATAATTTGCTTACTGCATCCTATGAGGTGTCACATGACTTTGAGAAGTTCTGTTACTGATGGCATTCACTTTGATCACTTAAGGCCCATGTCTGCCAGTCTTCTTCATGATAAAGTTTTTCTTTTCTCCTTTGTAATTATTAAGTATTTTGTAAGACAGTACTCTGAATCTACATCAATATTCTGCTTCTCATAAAACTTTCAATTTTATTATTTTATTTATTTATTGTATAGAGTCATAGATTTAGATTTTATTTAATAAGTTATAATTTATCATTTATTTTGATGTTCAAATTGTCTCATATTTGAGCAGTAGAAACCTTTTTAAGCTGGCTTGTGTCTTTTGGACACACCCCATTATTCCTTGGTTACTTTCTTGCTTTCTGGTACACTCAGATGTCCTAGCCTCATTTTGTACTTTCCCTAGCCCAGACCCTGGATCAATGATTTCTCCAAAGGGCTGTTGTGCTAGGTGTGCTTACTGCTACTTGGGTGTCACTGCTCTCAGACATACTCAATGAACAGAGTTGGGAATATATACAGGTATATAATTTATACACCTGTGTGTACAAATACATGATATAAATATTTTTATTTAAAAACAATAAATTCACTACAGTATCTCAAATTCGAATCCAACACCATAGTGTTTATTCTAGCTTTCTTCTTGCATATTTGTAAAGTCCTTCTCTGACAATGAGAAACCCTGCTCTCATTATCCTTTATATATATATGTATGTTTATGTGTATATAATACACACAAACATACATACATACATACTTATTTATACTTATTTATTTATTTATTTATTCTGAGACAGAGTCTTGCTCTGTTGCCCAGGCTGGAGTGCAGTGGCACAATCTCGGCTCACTGCAACCTGCACCTCCCAGGTTCAAGCAATTCTCCTGCCTCAGCCTCCTGAGCTGGGACTACAGGCATTCGCCACCATGCCTGGCCAATTTTTTTTTAATAGAGACAGTGTTTCACCATGTTGACCAGGCTGGTCTCAAACTCCTGACCTCAGGTGATCTGCCCATCTCAGCCTCCCAAAGTGCTGGGATTATAGCATGAGCCACCACACCCGGCCCTCAATATATTTTCCTATTTGATAAATTCCTCCTATGTAACCAACCAACATCCTATCTTTGTAACCATCTTCTCTCCTCTTAAGAAGATGCCCTCCTTTCCCTATTCAAATTCTGAATCCCCATTCCATTTCACCCTACAGTGTGAACAACCTCTTGGTCACTAAGTCTTTTAAAAGATATGCCATCAATATATCAAACCAGAACATATCTTTTTAATTTTGTCATTCAGGATTAAATTAGAAATCTCTCAATTTTATCAAAGAACATTAAACTTAGCTAAAAATCACAGAAGAGATTCACCAAATTTTCAATCTGTTAGACTCTCATAAATTCAAATAACATTTTTTTGCTTGAGACAGAGTGTCAATCTGTCACCCAGACCAGAATGCAGTGGTGTGATCTCAGCTCACTGCAACCTCTAGCTCTCAGGTCCAAGAGATTCTCCTGTCTCAGCTTCCGAAGTAGCTAGGAATACAGGGATGCACCACCACACTCGGCTAATTTTTGCAGTTTTAATATAGATGAGGTTTCACCAAGTTGGCCAGGCTGGTATAAAACTCCTGACTGCAAGTGATTCACCCGCCTTGGCCTCCCAAAGTGCTGGGATTACAGGTATGAGCCACTGCACCTGGCCAAATATTTTCTATCTCAAATTTTTATAAGCTACTACTAAACTTTTTTCTTTTTTTGAGATAAGGTCTCGCCTTGTCACCTGGGCTGGAGTGCACTGGAGCGATCTTAGCTCACTGCAACCTTGACCCCTTTGGCTCAAGTGATCTTCTCACCTCAACCCCCCAAACAGCTGGGACTACAGGTGCATGCCACCACACCCAACTATTTTTTTTTATTTTTTGTAGAGACGGGGTTTTTCCATGTTACCCAGGTGGGTCTCCAACTCCCAGGCTCAAGTGATCTTCCCATCTTGGCCTCCTTTAAAGTGTTAGGATTAGATGCATGAGCCACCACTAAACTTTAAACTAAATTTATTTTAAGTTAGAGGTACTATTCCTCATTAACTTGTGCACATTTCTAAAATGTGTCTGCCAATAATTTGGATTGCCTCTGTAAAATTAATACCTCCAAAACTCAAGAGGAAATTAGATGAAACTGAGATAGAAAACATGAATGGTCTAGAAAGTAAACCTCAGAAGCAATGTCCAATAATAAAATTTCCAGAGAAACAGTTCAAATTATATATACTTATACAGAAGAGTGATCATCAAAAGGTTAAATGGGTTAAAATGTTACTATTTTCATTTATTCCTCTCAATGAGAAGAAGGACTTTGTGTCCTTTTCTTTCCTGTATTATTTTAATTTAATTAATTTGTTTTTTTAGAAAGGGTCTCACTCTGTCACCCAGGCTGAGGTATAGTTGCATAAACATAGCTCACTGCAGCCTCAAACTCCTGGGCTAAAGGGCATCCTCTCACCTCAGTCTCCTGAGTAGCTGGGACTACAGGTGTGAGGTTACCATGCCCAGCTAATTGTTCTTGGTTTTGATAGAGACAAGGTCTTGCTGTGCTGCCCAGGCTGGTCTCAAACTCCTGGCTTTAAGCAATCCTTCCACCTTGGCCTCCCAAAGTGCTAGGATTACAAACGTAAGCCACTGTACCCAGCTGAGAGTAGAATGATGGATAATTTATTTTCTTTTCACTCCTTTCGTATTTCTACAATTTCACATCCTAGACATTTAATTAAAAATGGTAAATTAATATTTTTATAAAGATGATTATATAATCATGCAGCTTGAACAACAAAGAATCTTCATCAGATTAACTATAAAGAAACATAGAAACCCACTCATAAAAAGTTATGCATTATAAGATTTCTTGGTATTAAGACATAACCAAGTAATTTCAACCTTTGTGACACTAAAGCATGAAAGAGTCATATCTATTCACAACTACGTTTATCAAGACCAATAACAGTATAATTGATGTAAATTTTTTCTCTTACCTATACTGTAACAAAATAGTTTGCTTTAATTTGCTATCCTTAACTCTTCCAAAGTAGAAAAGCATATTATAATAAATATGTGTCCCAAGACTGAATCTAATTTGTATTGAAAATCGTACCACACATCTGTAATCCCAGCACTTTGGGAGGCGGAGGTGGGTGGATCACCTCAGGTCAGTAGTTCGAGACCAGCCTGGCCAACATGGTGAAACCCCATCTCTACTAAAAATGCAAAAATTAACTGGGCATGGTGGCTGACGCCTGTAGTTTCAGCTACTCGGGAGGCTGAGGCAGGAGAATACCTTGAACCTGGGAGGTGGAAACTGCAGTGAGACAAGATTGTGCCACTGCACTCCAGCCTGGGTGATATAACGGGGTGTTTCCAAAAAAAAAAAAAAAAAAAAAAAGAAAAGAAAAGAGAAGAGAAGAGAAAAGAAAAGAAAGAAAGAAAAGAAAATCATACCTCTAGACCTGTGTTATCTAACAGGGTAGCTAACTAGCCACATGGGACTATTTAAATGCTAATGTATTTAAATGAAACCTTAGAAAATTCAGTCCCTTAGCTGAAAAGCCACAGATACAGAACAACTTCTTTCACTGCAGAAAGTTTTCCTGGCCTTTGCTACTTTAGATCTTTCGTCTAGAGCCATAATCAGGCTTAAAATATAGTGCTACTTTAGATCTTTCAATTAGAACCATAATCAGACTTAGCACTTCAAAATATTCAAAACATTTATAAGTAAAATGTTTACAGTTATTATGAAAGATTATAAAAGCAAAGATACCAAATAAATGTCTAAAATTCTAAAATATTCTTTCAAATATTTCACCCACATAAAATTATTTAAAGGCAGTCACATCTAAAGTTGCTTTATTATAAATATAAAAACTTCTTTTGTGAAGGAACTCTGTTTTATGAACTAGAATAAAAAGAAGCTAGAAATAAGAAGTCATTTCACGGAAACTAGAGTTTAGGTAGATTTTGTTCTAAGCGGAACAATGAGCTAACAAATATCGTCTAATCAAATAAATCTTAAAATGTATCCGTGAAATCTAACAGGTCCATTAATGCAATTTCACTATCACTGAGCGGCACATATATGCACCAGCCAGCATTAAGAATGTAAAAGGACCCCTTGAGCAAGGAGTACATTAACCAGTTTCTCTACATGTATATCTAGGCTTCTTAAGAAATTAATTAGGATCTCTAGGTAGGAAAAAGAATCATAGATAAAAGAATAGAGATTAGAGTTTAAGACACTTAAAGGTACTTTCAAATGGAAGAAATAGTTTTGCCAACTTCAAATTAAGACAAAGAAATCATGAGAATGACATTATGGTAATCTCCAAATCTGTTTGTTGATGCTGTTAAACTACAAAACAAAAAGGAGGATATAGAGCTTGAAGGCAGTAGCTAACATAGGAATTCCAACAAAACTGAAAATACTAAGATTACATTTTAGGAAAAAAACTGGACCGCAAGGTAGTCTGGTTATAAAAGAAATCATAACATAAGCAAGATTATACCTTTATTTTACCTCATTTTCCCTATTTGTTTTAGATAACTACTGACAAACTCAGGTAGATAATAATTAATCAAAATTACCAATGGATTTTACTTTTAAAGTATTATTTTCCATCCTTGGTTACTCCTTTTAGAAGGGTTTAGGCAGTGCTATGGCTCATGCTTGAAATCCCCCCACTGTGGGAGGCCAAGGCAGGAGGATAGCTTGAGCCCAGGAGTTCGAGACCAGCCTGAGTGAGCAACATGGCGAAATCCTGTCTCTGCTAAAAATACAAAAAATTAGTCTGGCATGGTGGTATGCACCTGTAGTCCCAGCAACGTAGGAGGCTGAAGTGGAAGGATTGCTTGATCACAGGAAGCAGAGGTTAGAGTAAGCTGAGATTGCACGGCTGCACTCTAGCCTGGGCAACAAAACAAGACCCTGTCTCAAAAGTAAATAAATAAATAAAGTTTAATGCAATAATTTTATAAGAAGATAAAAAGGAAAAGACTATTGGACTGGTAGACTTCCACTGGGAAATCCAGAGCAAGAAGATGGGCAGCATCTTCAATTACAGTGACAGTTTACTGGCTCACATAAGTTATGATGGTCCACTGTTTTTAGCACAGTTCCATTTATGAGCAACTGAACCAAATATGTGCATAAAATCAAACTGCTACAGGAAATTGAGTCCAATCTCTCTCCCTTACTGCAAGACCCTGCTACAGTGATCCATATACCTATCATCATGGCCCCTGTTGAATAAAGTCAGCCTTACCATCTTAAAAAAAAAAAAAAAAAAAAAAAAAAAACTGTAAAAAAAAAAAAAAAAGATATGCAGTCTGACATCTAATTTCATCCCTAATTCAAAGTAAAAAAAAAAAAAAAAAAAAAAGTAATAACTACTCCAGCTAATTATGAATGCTTTATAGAGCTTCCATAGATGGTAAATCTGGTAATCACAAACATATTCTAGGTGTTTAACAAATACTCATTAATGTCAGACATAGGTTCCTCAAAATTAAAACCACAGTGGAAAATTATTTTAGATATAATGGAACAGAGCAAATATACCTAACAGAGCAAATATAATATACTTAACCCTAATATATATAAAAATTATCAAATAACCAAAGTGAAAACCTTAATAAATGTATTGCCCACCTTATAAAGTGACATAAAAGATAAAAATCTATAATTTTTATACATTGGTACAGAAATTGAGGTAAAACATTGATCAAAACTTAATCCATAGTAATGAAGAACAATGCTTACCTAGTTCAATACATGTTATTCCAAGAGACCACACATCTACTTTGCCATCATATTGTCCTTCATCCATGGCTAAAATTACTTCTGGGGCCATCCTAGAACAAAATGTTCACTTAAATTAAAGTTGTTTTTTTTTTTTTTTTTTTTTTAAGTATACTATTCTTTGAGAATGTAACGGTTATCTACATGGAGGTCACTGGTTTGAATTCTAACCAATATATCTGAACGTAAGAATTTTTATAATGGGAACTAAATGTGTTACAGGTTGTGAGGTAAATATCTAGCAATGCATATATAGTGTGAGATTTATTCTCACCATCTGTCATTATCATGTAACAGCTACCCCAAAAGAAGGAGGCTCCCAAGGCAGGATTATATTCTGCATCTGCTCAAGTTTGCAGATTGTAATACTGATTCATATCCTTTAGGCCAATGGTTCTCAAATATTTTGGTCTCAGGATCTCATTACAAAAGTCTAATTTTTGGCCAGGCATGGTGGCTCATGCCTGTAATCCCATCATTTTGGGAGGCTGAGGTGGGCAGATCAGAGGTCAAGAGTTTGAGACTAGCCTGACCAACATGGTGAAACCATTTTTGTATTTTTGTATTCTCTACTAACAATACACAAATTAGCTGAGTGTGGTGGTGTGCTCCTGTAATCAGCTACTCAGGAGGCTGAGGCAGGAGAATCACTTGAACCCGGGAGGCAGAGGTTGCAGTGAGCCGAGATCACACCACTGCACTCCAGCCTGGATGACAGAGTGAGACTCTCTCCAAAAAAAAAAGTCTAATTTTTGCTTGAAAGATTGAATTTTACTATTGGCAACAAATATTGTCAGTTGTTTTCCTTGAAGTTACATGCTTATGTCATTTATTAAAGAAAATTACCTGCCACAATAACCAAGACTGAATAATCACAGTTTGCGTCTTTCTTTCAAATAAAAATGGTGTTCCATGATAAAAATGGCTAGGGTAGTTTACAACTCAATCACACAATTATCAGTCTTATGGGTAACTTATTTGTAAATTAAGCACTAATTCATGTCTTCAACTAGTGTCCCACATTCTTTTTTAAAATTTTAAATTTTTTTTTTTTTTTTTGAGACAGGGTCTCACTCTGTCACCAGGCTGGAGTACAATGGCTTGATCTCAGCTCACTGCAACCTCTGCCTCCTAGGTTCAAGTGATTCTCCCACCTCAGCCTCTCAAGTAGCTGAGACTACAGGCGTGGGCCAATATGCCTGGTTAATTTTTGTATTTCCTGGTAGAGATGGGGCTTTACCATGTTGGCCAGGCTAGTCTCAAACTCCTGACCTCAAGTGATCTGCCCGCCTCAGACTCCCAAAGTTCTGGGATTACAGGCATACACCACTGCATCTGGCCAAGTCTAACATTCTCGACGGTACTTTACCTTACACTTCATTTGTATTTCATGTTAAACATAGATAGACACTTAAAACGGTTGCTGACTGCTTTAATAAGATTATTACCAAGTACTCCCAGTTTGTGTATGTGAGTGTACACATTTATGTGCGTAAGACATATGTATGTATCCAGCTCTCATGTTCTAATCATACTGTAGACAAATTAACAAATATGTAAATAAAGTAAACTTTCAGTAGTCAATAACTATTGGTGTTTCACAATTCTTTTAAGATGTTGAAGTTTGGGAAATCACTAAGTAAAGTTAAAGAAATGCTTTTTCTGTTTTTCTGCAACAAAACCAAAAACAGACAAATGGGACCTAACTAAGCTAAATGGCTTCTGCACAGCAAAACAATCTATCGACACAGTAAACAGACAACCTACAGAGTGGGAGAAAATATCTGCAAACTGCATCTGACAAAAGACCAATATCCAAAATCTCTAAGGGAGTTAAAAAGTAGACAAAGGGCCTGGCACAATGGCTCACGCCTGTAATCCCAGCACTCTGGAAGGCCGAGGCAGGTGGATCAGAAGGTCAAGAGTTCCAGACCAGCCTGGCCAATATGGTGAAACCCTGTCTCTACTAAAAATAAAAAAAATTAGCCAGGTGTGATGGCACACACCTGTAGTCCCAGCCGGGGATTGAGGCAAAGGAATTGCTTGAACCTGGGAGGCAGAGGTTGCAGTGAGCCAAGATCGTGCCACTGCACTCTAGCCTGGGTGACAGAGTGAGACTCCGTCTCAAAAAAAAAAAAGAAAAAGTGGACAAAGGGCATGAGCAAGATACTTCTCAAAAGAAAACATACAAGTGGCCAACAGACATGAAAAAATGCTCAGTATCACTAATCGTCAGAGAAGAGCAAATCAAAACCACACTGAGATAGTCACTCATACACTGTTGGTGGGATTGTAAATTAGTTCTGCTCCTATGGAAAGCACTTTGGAGATTTCTCAAATACCTGTAAGTAAAAATAGAATTACCATTTGACTCAGCAATCCCAATTACTAGGTACATACCCAAGGGAAAATAAATTGTTCTACTGAAAAAACACCTGTACTCATGTTTATCACAGCACTATTCACAAGAGTAAAGACACAGAATCAACCTTAGTGCTCATCAACACTGACTGGATAAAGAAAATATGGTAAAAGCCTGGGCACCATGGCTTATACCTGTAATCCTAACACTTTGGGAGGCCAAGGCAGGTGGATTGCCCAAGCTCAGGAGTTCAAGAACAGCCTGGGAAACATGGCAAAATCCCATCTCTACAAAAAATACAAAAATTAGCCAGGGTGGTGGTGTGTGCCTGTAGTCTCAGCTACTCAGGAGGCTAAGGGGGGATGATCGCTTCAATTCGGGAAGTTGAGGCTGCAGTGAGCTGAGATCATGCCACTGCACTCCAGCCTGGGTGACAAAGTGAGACCTTGTCTCAAAAAAAAAAGAAAAAGAAAACATGGTACATATACATCATGGAATCCTACACAGCCATTAAAAAAATGAAATCATGTCCTCTGCAGCAACATGAATGTAGCTGGAGGCCATTATCCTAAGTGAATTAACACAGAAACAGAAAATCAAATACTACATGTTCTTGCTTATAAATGGGAGCTAAGCACTGCGTATACATGGACATAAAGACAGGAACAACAGACATGTGGACTCCAAAAGAGGAGAGGGAGGGAGCGGGACAAGGTATGAAGAACTTCCTAGTGGGTACTATATTCACTATTTGGGTAAAGAGTTCAATTGACACTCAAACTTCAGCATCACGCAATACATTGACGTAACAAAACTGCACATGTACCGCCCAAATCTAAAATTTAAAATAAATATTTTTCTCTGGTATTTGAAAATAATGTGAATGCTATGCCTACTTGTCAAGAATGTTATCCATTTGTTTATCTGATTAACTAGACAGACTTTCTAATAAAGTTACTTAACACTCTTTCAAAAAAAAGTATTTTTTGTATTTTTCATTGAAGGACTTTCCAGGGCCTTTTAATTATCTTTTCTATGTTAATTTTCTTTTTGAGACAGGTCTCACTCTGTTGCTCAGGCTGGAGTATAGTGGCATGATCATAGCTCACTGCAGCCACAACCTTTTGAGCTCAGGCAATCCACCTGTCTCAGCCTCCTGACCAGCTAGGACTACAGGTGTGTGCCACCATACCTGGCTAATATTTACTTTTTTTTTTTTTTTTTTTTTGGTCTTTTTACGCTGACCAGGTCAGTACTGATCTCCTGGCTTCAGTGATCCTGCCTCTTTAGTCTCTCAAAGTGCTGGATTACGGGTGTGAGGCACCATGCCCAGCCCAGGGCCTTTTAAAATTTTTTGTGTTTTTATTTTTATTTCTGGAGACACGATCTCACTCCATTGCCCACTCCATTGGAGTACAGTGGCATGATCATGACTCACTGCAACCTCGAACTCCTGGGCTCAGGTGATTCTCTCACTTCAGCCTCCCAAATAGCTGGGACTACAAGCACATGCCACCATGTCTGGCTAATTTTTTGTACTTTTTGTAGAAGCAGGGTTTCACCGTGTTGCCCAGACTGGTCTCAAACTCCTGAGCTCAAGCAATTCACCTGTCTCAAAGTGCTGGTATTACAGGCATGAGCCACTGTGCCTGGCTGCCTTTTTAATAGCAAATATTCATCACCAATTTCTAAAAAGGGAAATCACTAAGAACTTTTATTAGCTCAGAAAACGCCCCCCTTTTTTTGTAAAGGAAGAGTACTTTATCTAGACTAGGGTTCTACATAAGAAATTTCTGGTCATCTAGAGCAGTAGTCTTCAAATTTTAAAAATTCATTTATCTCCCAGAATTGATAAAAACTATGTATCCCTTGTACATTTTGGGGTTGAGATCTACATTTTATGTATTTAATGGCTGCAAAAGATATAATGGATAGGATATACAAATACTGTATATTGTATGTATGCTTTAAAGATATTTAAAACTTGGAGATGTGGAATTAGTTCACTCAATTAATTAAAAACAATACCTATATTCACAAAGCTATTGGAACAAAAAAAAAGAAAAGAAAAAACACTGCCTTATAACATAATCAGCAGAGCCAGACTTCATGGTCATTATCAATTAGACACATATGAATCACTTCCTGTCAGGAAAAGTCCAACTTCAATTTTCTTGTTTCTTTTTTGAGATGGAGTCTCATTCTGCTACCCAGGCTGCAGTGCACTGGTGCCATCTCGGGCCACGGCAACCTCCGCCTCCCAGGTTCAAGCGATTCTCATGCTTCAGCCTCCTGAGTAGCTGGGGCTACAGGCATGTGCCATCACAACTACCTAATTTAACATCTGGCTAATTTTTGTGTTTTTAATAGAGATGGGGTTTTACCATATTGGCCAGGCTGGTCTCAAACTCCTGACCTCAGGTGTCCGCCTCTGCCTCCCAAAGTGCTGGGATTACAGGTGTGAGCCACTGTACCCGGCTTCAATTTCAATTTTCGCTGCAAAGAAATACGTTAATATGTTCCATGACTGCCATCTCAGTTCTATATTCTACACTAGAAAAATAAGAAAGGGGCTGGGCATGATGGCTCAGCACTATAATCCCAGCACTTTGGGAGGCCAAGCTGGGCAGATCACTTGAGGTCAGGAGTTCGAGACCAGTCTGGCCAACAAGGTGAATTCCTGTCTCCACTAAAAATAACAAAAATTAGTTGGAGGCAGAGTTTGCAGTGAGCTGAGACCATGACACTGCACTCCAGCCTGGGTGAAACAGCAAAAATCTGTTTCAAAAAAAAAAAAAAAAAAAAAAAAGGAAGAAGAAAGGGTGGCATGAGTAGTAGTATTAGGGGAGAAAAGATAAAAGAGATAACTGATAACAAAAAGGAAGAGATGACTGGAGAGGCACATGAGTTTGTGCCCCAACCCTTCAATATTTCTCATAGATGGTATACATTCTAAAAATTTCTCTCTTCTGTGCCTCTAAGGCATATATATCTCAGAACAATGCATCACTGTAATATTCAGGATGGGTGAGAAGTCTTTCTTTTATAAAGCAAGAAAAAGGACCAAGTGGGAAAGAAGGGCCTAAGTCACCACTCTCAGCACATATAAAGAGGACATATATGGAAGTTAAAGATCTGAAAAATTATTTCCTTAAAACTTGCTAATAAATACATAATAAATTATTTATAGAAGAAATAAGATGATGTCTGGGATTTGTTTCAAAATTCTGGGTGGCAAGGGATGAAAAGGAAGCATATAGAGCAGAATTGGCCATGTGATAATGTTGCTGGTTTGGGTGACTGGTATTTAAGTATGTAATGATGGTATCATTCTTTAGTCTACTTTTATATATGTTTGACAAAATCAACTACTAGTCTTTAAGTACTCTTAAACTGAAGATCAGTGATACATAGTAAATATAAAGAAAGCATACAAATTAGAATTTAGATGTCTGCCCCTACTGAATTTTATTTAATTTTTTTCATTCTCACATCCAACATATGATACAGAGAGTAATACAAAAGCAAATGTGCCCAGGACAAAATGAAAACATAGGGAGATGTGGCTGAGCACAGTGGCTCATGCCTGTAATCCCAGCACCTTGGGAGGCTGAGGCGGGCAGATCATGAGGTCAGGAGATCGAGACCATTCTGGCCAACATGGTGAAACCCCATCTCTACTGAAAATAGAAAAATTGGACAGGTGTGGTGGCACATGCCTGTAATCCCAGCTACTCGGGAGGCTGAGGCACGAGAATCGCTTGAACCCAGGAGGTGGAGGTTGCACAGTAAGGTACTGCACTCCAGCCTGGCTACAGAGAGAGACTCAAAAAAATAAAAAAAAAAACAAAGAAAGGAAATATAGGGGGATACAAGGGCAGTATTCTAAATCTATATTTAAAACTTAGTATAATGTTTAAAGTAAAATGTTTAAAATAGTATTATATTTCCAGGAAAAGACATCTGAAAAAAGTACAGCTACACATTGCTTATTTCAATTATGAGGATCAGTACCAGATAGAACTATTCTTACCAATATGGTGTTCCCACAAAGGAATTGGCAGGTGATGCCATGGAAGCAGATCCAAAGTCAGCAAGTTTCACCTGGCCTGGTTCTGTCAGAAGGATATTTCCTGCTTTGATATCTCTAGGTTTAGGGAATAGAGAAAATTACTTTTCTTTCCCGCATTAGATTATGTTTAAAATGATAAAAAAGAAAAGAAAAATTCTTAAGACAGAGAAGGAGAAATAAAAATAATTAAATCCTGCAGTAATCTCAAAATTGGGATAATGACAATGAATATTCAAATTAGAGAACAAAAAAACTACAGAATTCAAATAAACATACACTAACAATTTTCTAAAAGAAAAACAGCAGTAAAAAAAGAACATTAGTTCATTGTAACATATAGTTGGCATATTTTACTTTCTGTTTATTGGCAGAACCAATAGTTTTTAAAAATTATTGTAATTAGCAAGCAACCTCTTCATCATATGTAAGATTTCTGAATATCCATACTTAACGTAAAAACAAAAAAGGAAAATATAAAACAACCTTACTCTCCAAACTTTTAAAAAAAGACTTATTCAAAATAAATAAATAAAGATGTATTCATATCATTTCCAAACTTCAGCATAGTTCTCCTAAATATAAAACAAAACTGGAATATATGGATAATGTAGTATCAATTATCCCAAATTTACTTTCAAACTTATTTTTCTGCAATAGCAAACATACTGTCCATATAACCTAAGAAAATTAGTTATTTATATGTAAGATCATCTGTCTAATTAGCATTATAATATATACTTAATCTTTCAAAAATTAAAATAGAAATTAAAGTGCTGAATTTCCAAGCACTTGTTAATTCTTACGATAGTATTTTAGTGTATAACATGAAGTGAATCTGTTTTTCCTCCATTTGATTTTTTTAAATGGAGAGGTATCTTAAATTTGAGAAAACCTTAGGTTGAAATTCCAACTATGGCACTCACTTATTTACTGGCCTGTGGATATCTCTCAGATCTTATCCCCATGTAAAAAATTAATAACCCATTAACTTGCAATGACTCTGTTGCATAGTTTAATATGTACTGCCTGGTTCATATATATAATCAAAAAATGCTAACTGTCTTCTAAAACAGCTAGGACCAATACCATTGCCAAAAATACATTATAAAATGTTTTAACTTCAAAGTTACTATCCATTAACAAGGATTATCAAGGATCACAGTTCAAAAGCATAAAGAGTCTTAAGCAGCTTTCATTTTTTTCTTTTCTTTTTTGGGACGGAGTTTTACTCTGTTGCCCAGGCTGGGGTGCACTGGCACCATCTCAGCTAACTGCAACCTCTGCCTCCCGGACTCAAACAATTCTCCTCCCTCAGCTTCATGAGTAGTTGGGATTACAGGTGCCCACAACAATGCCCAGCTAATTTTTGTATTTTCAGTGGAGACGTGGTTTCGCCATGTTGGCCAGGCTGATCTTAAACTCCTGACCTCAAGTTATCCTTCAAAGTGCTGGGATTAAACATGTGAGCCGCCGCACCTGGCCTTAAGCAGCTTTTATTCGTCCATGTCATGGAGTCAATGGAATAAGTCTGTCATTATCAGTTACCAAGAAGACAAAAGATCTAGATTTAGTTCTAGCTCTAATCTATTCGGCTTTGCAACCTTTAGGAAATTATAGTCACGAAATGAGACATCAGTAATTTTACCTGTAAAATGAGAAAGAAAGACTGTATGATTCTCTAATGCCCATTCCAGTTTGCAAATTAAATGATTCTACAACTAAATTTCTACCAGAAATCCGAAAAGTACACATACTTTTACAAGGTCCAGCAGCACATATAGGTAAAGATAAAAATGATCCTGGCTGGGCATGGTAGCTCACGCCTGTAATCCAAGCACTTTGGAGGCCAAGGCAGATGGATCACCTGAGGTCGGGAGTTCAAGGCCAGCCTGACCAACATGGTGAAACCCTGTCTTTAAAAAAAAAAAAAAAAAAAAATTTATTAAAAAAAAAAAAAAAGATCCTAAAGAGATCAAGTATACCACTACGTTCATTTTAAGACGTGAACAATATGAGCTTATACTATTTTATTTGAAATAGTATAAAGAATATGAAGAATATGAGCTTCATATATATAAAGAATATGAGCTTATACTATTTTATTTGGCTATAACCAATAAAAACTTCAGGGTTAATAAATTCTAAAGTTGATAATTGCAACAAGCTATTTACTTATCAAAATATGCTAATTTCCAAAGCACTTACCTATGGATCATGGTATGAGAATGTAAGTAGGCTAATCCCTGGAGAGCACCATGTGTAATTGCTGCTATTTCCACTTCTTGTAATGGCTTTTTGTGAACTTAAAATTTATTTGAAAATAATTAATACACAGAACACTTTTGTTAAAAGAAATACATATCTAATACATAGGGCAATTTTTAAAAACTGATACTGAGCAAGAAGAAATTTCCCAAGATGATAAAGATTGCTAAACTTTATAATTTGTATGCAATTGTGCCAGCTGTTAAAGTACAGTTCACAGCCAATTCTTCTCTTAGCTAACAATATTAAATAATTATTTGGTGACGTAAAAACAATAGTGACAGAGTTCTCCCTTTATTCTCACTTTGTTTTGAACAGGAGGCGCAGAATGACAGAGAATTCAGAAAAAATATTTGTAAAGACACAATGAGAAAAATAACTATTTTAAGCTACTATATAACATATAATATTTAATACAGACAACATATACCACACTGAGAATTTGAAAAAGATTAAGCGTTCTGCTCTTTCTGTAAAGCTTAGCATTATTTGGTATTATCATTTAAATAATGTCTAACTAAATTATCATTTTATTCTATGAATACTTTTTTTAAATAATCAAAGGAAACTTACCTTCTAGTAAATCTGAAGCAGATCCTAAACAATATTCCATTACAAGCTACATGAAAAAATTATAAAAGCATTAAAATATATTATTGTAAAGATTCTATTTAAGATAAAATAAGCTCACACAGGAGATCAAGAAGATAGTTTGAAGTAAAACTCTAGTCACCATTTACCTTAGAAAATACAGTTATACATTACTCAGAATAATATATTTTTTAAAATTCTTAATAAAAAATAGTTATGTATTCAGTGATTTGTTAAATGCATATATAAAGTCAAACCAATGATACATTAATCTTTTAATAATGCCAACATATAATCACTTCTATAAGCTGTGTATTTCATATATAATTGCTAATTAAAATTGTAAAGAAATGCATATATTCCATTACTACTAACTTATAGTAACAACATTGCTCATTGTTAGGACACAGAAAACTGTGTTCTCTAGAATTATATGTGTAGTCATCCCTTCACATCTATGGGTTCTAGATTTGTAGAGTCAACCAAATATGCATCAAAAATAATTGAAAAAATAAAAAGTTACAATATAACAATAAAAATAATACAAAATCCAATACAATATAACAACTATTTACATGGCATTCACATGTGGTATTATAACTAATCTACAGATGACTGAAAAAATAATAGGCAGATGTGCGCAGGTTATGTGCAGATACACTCCATTTTATATAAGGGATTTGGTATCCTGGAGGGTGGGTGTCCTGGAACCAAATCCCCCACAGATACTGAGGAAAAACTATACAAAGCTTAGATTACAGCTGTTTCTTTGAAAGCAAACACAAAGCACCTCCTGCGTGCCAGGTGTTTTTTACATAGTAACCAATTTAATCCTCAGAATAACCTTATGAGGTTCTATTAGTATCCTCAGGATGGAGAACCCTGAGAGGCAAAGAAGTTATCTGTCTAATGTTACTGCTTTTTCTTTAATCATAGCCTCAATTTTACAAGTCACCACTACCACCACCAAAACAAACTGGATAAAAATGCACCAAACGCTACAAATCTACATCTACAGTAAATATACTCAAATGATACTTAGCTGTGGCTTATTATTCAAAATAAGGGGCCACTCCTGGTAACAAAAGGGCAAAATTAATTTCTACTTCTTATAATAAAGTGCAGAGCCGGGCGCAGTAGCTCACGCCTGTAGTCCTAGCGCTTTGGGGGGCCGAGGTGGGTGGATCACCTGAGGTCAGGAGTTCAAGACCAGCCTGGCCATCATGGTGAAACCCCATCTTTAAAAAAAAAAAAAATAAAGTGCAACAATTCCTTATCTTTAGTATTAATCAGCCAAGGAATCATAATCCATTCAAATTTCACCAAGATCTTTCTAGTTAATTGCATGATAGTACATTTATGTAAAAAAAAAAAAAAATGCTAACTTTCAACCTCAAGTAACATGATTGTTTTCACAATGTTTGAATGGTACTATTAAAACTGTCAGAGGACATTTTATCACACACAAAAGTCAACAGAATTCTAAAATATCTCTGCAGTAAGACTTGCAAAAGTTCTCTCTTATTGCCTATAAGTTCTAGGAAATATTGCTCGTTTTCTTTCAGTATGAACTAACATTTCAGGTGTTTTAGCATGACTTTACACAACCAGTATGAGACAATCTGAATTAATTCACTATAAACCAAAATCAGCTAAAATTGCAACAAGGGGAGAGCAAATACCAACCCATGCTGTGTGTTCACGTAAATAACAGCCTTTGTATTCTATACTGTTGGGATGTTTTATCCTTTGTAGAAACTTGACTTCCTTAATAATATCCTGCCATTTCTGTGGGGAGAAATAGGTAAAGAATTATGAACAGGGCTTTTCCTCAGAAAGTTATATAAGAATACAAGTAATTACTAAATTGAGAAACGTTAACAAGAACATGCAACTTTGCTTGGTTTTATTTACTGGCAGGGTCTCACTCTTTCACCCAGGCTGGAGTGAAGAGGCATGATCATAGCTCACTGCAACCTCCATCTCCTGGGCTTAAGTGACCCTCCTACCTCAGTCTCCCAAGTACCTGGGTCTACAAGCACACACCACCAGGCTTATCTAATTTTTCTATTTTTTTGTAGAGATAGAATGATTTCATTATATATCTAAGACTGGTCTCAAACTCCTGACCTCAAGCAATTTACCTGCGTTGGCCTCCCAAAATGTGATTTGTAATTTTTAGATAAAATGTCAAAATTAAAAAGTTTAAAGAAATTATATTTATATGGACATATCTTGATTTACGGCACTTTGCTTTATTGTACTTCACAGATATTATTATTATTATTATTACCAAATTGAAGATTTGCAGCAATCCTATGTCAAAGCAAGTCTACCAGCACCATTTTCCCAACAACATGTGCTCACTGCATGTATGTGTATCACCTTTTGGTAACTCTCACAACATTTCAAACTTTTTCATCATTATTATTATACCTGTTACGGTGATTTGGGATCAGTAATCTTTGACATGACTATTGTAATTGTTTTGGGGAGCCATGAACTGTGCCCATATAAGATGGTGAATTTAATCAACAAATATGTATTTTGACAGCTCCACAAAACAGCGGTTCCCCCGTCTGTGTTCCCTTTCCTTGGGCCTCCCTTATCTCTGAGACACACTGTTGAAATTAGGCCATTAATGACCCCACAGGGACCCCTAAGTGATCAAGTGAACAGAATACTCACACATCTGTCACTTTAATTCAAAAGTTACAATTGATTAAGCTTAATGAGAAAGGCAAGTCAAAAGCTGAGACCGGTCAAAAGCTGAGACAGGCCAAAAGCTAGGCCTTTTGTGCCCAACAGCCAAGTTGTAAATGCAAAGAAAAAGTTATCAAAGAAAATTTAAAGTGCTAGTCCAGTGAATATGTAAATGATAAGAAAGCAAAACAAGTTTATTGTTGATGTGAAGAAAGTTTTAGTGGCCTGGATAGAAAATCAAATCAGCCACAACATCCCTGTAAACCAAAGTGTAATCCAGAAGAAGGCCCTAAGTCTCTTTAACTCAAGAAAGGCTGAGAGAGGTGAAGAAGCTGAAGAAGAAAAGCTGGAGGCTAGCAGAGGTTGCTTCATTAGGTTTTAGGAAAGAAGCCATTTTCATAAATTAAAAGTGCAAGGTAGGCCTGGCACAGTGGCTCACGCCTATAATCCCAGTACTTTGGGAGGCCAAGGAGGGCAGATCACTTGAGGTCAGGAGTTTAAGACCAGCCTGGCCAACATGGTGAAACCCTGTCTCCACTAAACATACAAAAATTAGCCAGATGTGATGGCGCATGCCTGTATTCCCAGCTACTAGGGAGGCAAAGGCAGGAGAATTGTCTGAACCCAGGAGAGCAGAGGTTGCAGTGAGTCAAGATTGTGCCACTGCACTCCAGCCTGGGCGACAGAGAGAGACTCTGTCAAAAAAAAAAAAAAAAGAAAGAAAAAAAGAAAGAAAAAGAAGGAAGGGGAGGGAGGGAGGAAGGAAGGAAGGAAGGGAGGGAGGGAGGGAGGGAGGGAAGGAAGGAACAAGTGCTGATGTAGAAGCTACGTGCAAGTTATCCAGAAGATCTAGCCAATGTGTCATTGATGAAGGTGGCTACATTACGCAACAGATTTTCTTTTTTCTTTTTTTTTTTTTTTGAGAGTCTTACTCTGTCACCCAGGCTGGAGTGTAGTGGCATGATCTCAGCTCACTGCAACTTCTGCCTTCTGGGTTCAAATGTTCCTCCTGCCTCAGCCTCCCTAGTTGCTGGGACTACAGGCATGTGCCAAGACACCTGGTTAATTTCTGCATTTTCAGTAGAGATGGGGTTTCACCATGTTGGTCGGGCTGGTCCCAAATTCCTGGCCTGAAGTGATCCACCCACCTCGGCCGTCCAAACTGCTGGGATTACAGGTGTGAGCCACCATGCACGGCCAACAGATCTTCAGAGTAGATGAAATAGCTTTATATTGGAAGAATATACCATCTAGGACTTCCATGGCTACAGAGCAACTATGAAATGCCTGATTTCAAAGCTTCAAAGGATGGGCTGACTCTCTTGTTAGGGGCTAATGCAACTTGTGACTTTAAGTTGAAGTCAATGCACATTTACCATTCCAAAAGTCATACTCTACCTGTGGTTGTTCAATGTAATAACAAAGCCTGGATGACAGTACATCTGTTTAAGCATGGTTTAGTGAATACTTTAAGACCACTGTTGAGACTTACTGCTCAGAAAAAGATTCCTTTCAAAATATTACTGGTCTTTGCCAATGCACCTTGCCACCTAAGAACTCTGATAGAGATATAAAAGGAGATTTATGTTGTTTTCATTCCTGCTATCATCCATTCTGCAGCCTATGAATCAAATAATAATTTCGACTTCCAAGCCTTATTATTTAAGAAAGTCTATAGCAGCCAGGCACAGTGGCTCACGCCTGTAATCCCAACACTTCGGGAGGCCAAGGCAGGTGGATCACCTGAGGTTAGGAGTTCAAGACCAGCCTGGCCAACACGGCAAAACCCCATTTCTACTAATGGTGCAAAACTTAGCCAGATATGGGGACACATGTCTATAATCCCTGCTACTCAAGAGGCTGAGGCAGGAGAATCGCTTGAACCCGGGAGGCGGAGGGTGCAGTGAGCCGAGTAAGCACCATTGCAGCAAGAGCGAAATTCCTTCTCCCAAAAAAAAAAAAAAAAACCCCAGAAAGAAAGAAAGGCTGTAGCTGCCATAGACAGCAATTTGTCTGATGGGTATGGGCAAAGTAAATTGAGAACCTTCGGGAAGTAATTCACCATTCTACGTGCCATTAAGAACATTTATGACTGATGGGAGGGCAAATCAGCAACATCAACAGGAGTTTGGAAGAAGCGGATTCCGATCCTCATGGATGACTTTGAGGAGTTCAAGATTTCAGTGAAGGAAGTAATTGCAGATGTGGCAGAAACAGCAAGAAAACTAGAATTACACATGGAGCCTGAAGATGTGACTAAACTGCTGCAATTTCATGATAAAACTTGAGTGAATGAGAAACTGCTTTTATTTTATTTTATTTATTTTATTTTTTTAAAGATGGGGTTTCACCATGATGGCCAGGCTGGTCTTGAACTCCTGACCTCAGGTGATCCACCCACCTCGGCCTCCCAAAGTGCTAGGATTACAGGCGTGAGCCACTGAGTCCGGCCGAGAAACTGCTTTTAATGGATGGGCAAAGAAAGTAGTTTCTGAATATTACATGAATTTAGTTGAGGCTGGGCACAGTGGCTCATGCCTGTAATCCCAGCAGTTTGAGAGGCCAGAGCGGGCCAATCACCTGAGGTCCAGAGTTTGAGACCAATCTGACCAAAATGGAGAAACCCTGTCTCTACTAAAAATACAAAAATTGGCAAGGTATGGTGGTGCATGCCTGTAATACTAGCTACTCAGGAAGTTGAGGCAGGAGAATTGCCGGAACCTGGGAGGCAAAGGTTGCAGTGAGCCGAGATTGTGCCATTGCACTCTAGCCTGGGGAACAAGAGCAAGACTCTGTCTAAAAAAAAAAAAAAAAAATTTAGCTGATAAAGGAGTGATAGGGTTTCAGAGGACTGACTCCAATTTTGAAAGTTTTATTGTGGGTAAAATGCTGTCAAACATCATTGCATGCTACAGAGAAATCTTTTGTGAAAGAGACAACTGATGGGGCAAAAGGGCAAACTTCACTGTTGTCTAATTTTAAGAAATTGTGACAGTCACTCTAACCTTCAGCAACCACTACCCTGACCAGTCAGAAGTCATCAACATCAAGGCCAAGATCCTCGAGCAGCAAAAATACTATGACATGCTGAAGGCTCAAATGATCATTAACATTTAAAATATTTTAAAATTAAGGCATATACATTGTCTTTTTTAGACAGTGTTATTGCACACTTAATGGACTACAGTATAGCATAGACATAATTTTTTTTTTTTTAAAGACGTCATCCAGGCTGGAGTCCAGTGGCACGATCTTGGCTCACTGCAGCCTTCACCTCCTGGGTTCAGGCCATTCTCCTGCCTCTGCCTCCTGGGTTCAAGTGATTCTCCTGCCTCAGTCTCCTGAGTACCTGGAACTACAGGCACGTGCAACCACACCCAGCTAATTTTTGTATTTTTAATAGAGACAGGTGTTTCCCCCATGTTGGCCAGGCTGGTCTCAAACTCCTGACCTCAGGTGATCCAC